GAACACAAAACTGCAACAAATCATCTCTAATCTAAAATGGACTAAAACGTCCTGGGCTGGAAGAATTGCACTCACTAAAATGTTCCTCCTACCACACTTCTTGTACCTATTCAGAACCCTACCGGTTCCCATGCCCTCCAACCACATAAACAGAATACAAACGATTCTCACCTCTTATTTGGGAACACAAATGACCTCATTTGCATCACTCTATTCTATATCTTCCAACCAAGTCTGGAGGGATGGGAGCACCAGACCTCAAAGTATACTACAAAAATGCCATCCTTGACCAAACCAAAACCTGGTGGAACCCTGGAATCTTTACCAACTGGAAACAAATTGAATGTACCCTCCTACCCACAGAATCACAACTTTTCCTAAGTGCCTTATGGCTCTGCTGCCACTCACCTGATTTCTTTCTGGATACTATCAAAGCCACAACGAGAGTATGGTGCTCTATCCTACAATTAAACAAAGGAATCTCTGCACGAATGCTGGAACACCTCCCGCTGAGGTCGCTGACTGTCCTCTCCCCAAACCTTCCCATACGCCGTTGGACCACCAAAGGGGTAAACTCTCTGAACCAGATGTACTCGCATCAAGTCCTCCAAACTTTCCAGCTTCTATCCACTACCTTTGAAATCCGAAACAAGATTTCTATCTCTACTTTCGTATATGGCACATTTTATCATCAATAACATGGTCTCACCAACAACATCCTTCAATTCTGCGCTTCTCAAAAACCAAAACTAAAAGGCCTTTCCTTTATCTACACGCTGTTCAATCTTTGTTTACTGAGATTAAAAACAACGCTATGTAGTTCTGGGAACAGACTCTGAATTTCCATATGTCGCCAACATCATGGCACTTAACGCTACAAACTTCCCGCACATTCTCCAAGAATATCTCCCACTGGGAGCCAACTATGACATTTTTTTTACCGAAGGTGCTACACTACATTTCATGTAAACCTGAAAATTCTCAATAAAAATTAAGTGAAAAAAAAAACCAGGACAAATAGAGAGGGTGAATCTCCATAATGAGGACACAAACAGCAATAAAAACCTGACAAGGTCTCTAATACATCTCCACTCTATCCAAAACTAAAAACAAAAGTTTTGACTTGAGCTATACTGTAGGCTTTGACAAAAAAAAAAAAAATGGAAGCTGATTGGTTTCTATGCAGAGCTGAAAAAGATTTTGCACTCTCCAGTTTCAGTAAATCAACACCTATGCATTTTAGCGAGCATCTTGTTTTAATTTGAATATTACCAATTGAGATCATACTACATGTAGATGTTGTATTCCCTCCATCAGTTTTATACATCACAAGGTTGACACGTCTATTTTAAGTTTTGGTGGGGTTCTGAGATGGAGAAATTAATAAAATGTTTTGTACAGAGACAGAATGAATGGTGGATCTTTTATTACACTTTTATGTTGAATACTTCTGTTTTACATTTTTTTTTAATTATGATGGCATTTTAAGCAGTTTTTTTATTATATGAAGTGGGTATGGTTTTACAGCAATGGTGCAGAATTCCTCTAGACTCTCCTATGCTTCCGTGTCCCCCCAAAAAGTACACAATCCTATAGAAGGCTGTCAGTGAGGTTCTATAGGTTGCAAAAGTTGGAGCCTGGCATTTTGGGGATACCAAAGGAAGGTGATGGTGGCCCTGAGACATGAGGAAGAGGTTTTGGTGGTCTGGAACGTCTCTGAGGCGACTTCCAAAACAATATGGTGGAACACAAACGGGAAATTCTTGGTAAAGTCACATAGGATCTCACCTGGGCAATCGTTCACCAGTGCCTCGCAACCCAAAAGTTCCAGAATAAAAGAGGACTGGTGGATAGAGTCAGGTGCCCCAGAGATCGTGACTAGACTAGAATAGAGACTGTGATGCATATTTTGGAAATGCCTCTAAACACAGGTCTGGAGGAAAGCAGGTCCATTATTTAAATGGATCTGCAGCCCGAAAATGTTTAACCACAAAGCACATTATTTATGGCCTTTTTATGTACTCAACTGCTAAACAGCAGCAACTATGCTGGGTGATTATTACTTGTTTTAAAAAATCCATCTGGAAAGCTCAGAATATTTTATTTAAACATGATTTTATTTATGTCAACAATTGTCCCAAAATGGCTTTAGCAGAATTGTATATTTATTTTTAAGAGACAAAAAGCACCATGGTGGTGAAGAAGCTAAAGCCACCTGTTGATAGTCTACGTGGAATTCTATTGTGATGTAGTTTTAACCTTTTAAATTAATTGCTTTATATAGTAAATATATTTTAAGTTTTTTAGATTGCAATTTTATGTATTTTATCATGACTCTTAATTTTTGTGTCATTTTATTTATTATGATCTGACTATTTTGTAATTTTATTATATTGTTCATTGCTAAAGGTTTTAAAAACATTTAGTTGAAACCTCAACCACTTCCCACCTGGCCTATAACAGAATGATGGCGGGGCGGGACTTTTCTCATTACGAGTGGACATCATATGACATCCTCCTGGAAAGTACCTTGCAGATGTGATCTGTCACCAGCTGTGTCCACCGAACGCTGTGACCAATCACAGCAGATCACATGACAATTGTAAACAATGAATGGCTTTGATTTATGCTATTCATTGTGTACCATGGTGTTGCTAGCTGTGACTGGTCACAACATAACACACTGAATGAATTGATTTCATTGAGTAAACATGCTTGCTTATAGCAGTGAAATTCACTGCAATAAGCAATCAATGTGTAAAAAAAATACTGATCACCAGGGGCGGACTGACAACTCATGGGGCCCCCGGGCAATGGGGGATCATGGGGACCCTGTGTCCTTGCCCAAACTAAAAAAAAGCCTATGAAAAAGGTACCAGGGACATCTCATGGGGCCCCCTACTGACCCTGGGCCCTCGGGCAGTGCCCGAGTTTCCAAATGGTCAGTCCGCCCCTGGTCATTAACCCCTTCATGCCTAAGGGTAAAACAAATCTTAATGCCTAAGCACAATTCACCTTCCCAGAGTAGTACAATGTTACTATGGTAACATTATATTTCTCTGATCACTGTGTTAAAAAAAAAAAAATAAAAAATCGTACAAAAAAAGAAAAATGTAATAAAAGAAAAAAAAAAAAAAGTTTTTTTCATACTGTCACCAGTGTCCCTGATCACCACCACACCACTGTATAATGATGTTGTACTGCGCTGGTGACAGTATGTAAAAAAAATAAAAAAATAAATTTAAAAAAAATGTAAAAAATTAAAATGGGATTTTTTTATTTCATTTTCCAAAAAATGACAAAAAATTACTTTAAAAAAAAAAAAAACTCACCATGCTTCTTACTAAATACCTTGGATAATCTACTTTCCAAAAAGGGGTCATTTGGGGAATATCTGTACTGGGCCTCATGAAATGAGATAGGCCGTCAGTACTATCAGGATTGATCAATTTTCAGATATATACCATAGTTTGTGTACTTTCCTACAGACTAAATAATAAACATCGATTTGGAATATTTTCACACAAAAAAAAAAGTAGCGGAATACATTTTGGCCTAAATGAAGAACAATTATTTGCTAAGAAACAAAGGAAAACTTTTTTCTAAATTTTCAGTCTTTTTTAATTTATTTAGCAAAAAAAAAACCCAGTGGTGAACATTTAACATTTGCCCATACCCGCCGCTGCGATAGCTGCCCCCTCCCTCTGACAGATAATATGGGGAGACGTTTCCCCGTACTGTCAAATTTGAAAAAAGTGCAGCCGTGAGGGGCTCCATCCACACGACCACGTCATTCATTCACAGACTTCAGTGAATGAATGAACTGCAAGTCCTGACAACCTTAGGAGCTGTGGGCTCGTAGTTTTCAGTGAACTAGCACGGCACTGTGGAGCGCCATGGTAGTTTGTTGAAGCTTCCTGTCAGAATATCTGCTTGGCCGTACATCCCTGTACGGCAAGCAGCAATTCTGACAGGTCTGCTTTCCAAGCCCCTTTGAACAAAAAAATAAGAAAAAACACATTTTTTTACCTGCAAAAAAGTGCATTTATTATTTTTGTCCAAAAGGTGAACTCGTCCTTTAAAAAGGTATTCCATCAAATAAAACTGTGAAATAAAGGTGGAGGTTTCAGCAATGGAGGTTTCAGCAATGTCAACTAAATTGAAAAGAGGTGAAGGGGACTGATGCCAATTACAGGCATCCCCTTGTGCTCTAATAGCATGTCGTAATTGTACATAATAATGTATAGAGCTGGGCAAAGAAAATGTAGTTTACAAGTCGGAGAAGGGTAGCAAAACCCCATATTTAAGAATATGGCATTAGTAGGTGACTATGACACCCTTAGCAATGAGGGCCCTGTTGCAATTTAAAAATAATTGTGAATAGTGCAGCGATATAAACAAAATCTATCTAATAAGTAAATTAGTGTTAAATATTGCTTGCCATGCAAACACAATGGTGCTCAATGAAAAATTATTGCAAACAAATACATCTCATTCAACAAATATATAAGTGAAACATAACCTTATTATGGTGAGATAATACAAATAGTAGTGAAGTGATTCTTTAACCACTTGCCTACCAGGCACTTATACCCCCTTCCTTACCAGGCCAATTTTCAGCTTTCAGCGCTGCCGCACTTTGATTGACAATTGCGCGGTCATGCAACATTGTACCCATATGAAATTTTGATCATTTTTTTCTCACAAATAGAGCTTTCTTTTGGTGGTATTTAATCACCGCTGGGCACTTTACTTTTTGCACTATAAATTAAAAAATTGCAAAAAATTTGAAAAAAAAAAAAGTTTCTTTGTTTCTATTATAAAATTTTTCAAACAGGTAATTTTTCTCCTTCACTGATGTGCGTTGATGAGGCAGCACTGATGGGCACTGATAGGCGGCACTGATGGGCACTGATAGGCAGCACTAAAGGGCACTGATAGGCAGTACTAATGAGGTGGCACGGATAGGCGGCACTGATAGGCAGCACTAATGAGGTGTCAGGGATAGGCGGCACTAATATGCAGCACTGATAGGCGGCACTGATAGGTGACACTGATGGTGGGTACTGATAGATGGCACTGACTGGCATCACTGCTGGGCACTGACTGGCACAACCGCTGGGCACTGACTGGTGGCACTGACTGGCAGCACTGCTGGGCTGCACTGGTGGGTGGCACTGGTGGGCAGCACAGGTGGGTGGCACTGGTGGGCGCAGGTGGGTGGGCACAGGTGGGTGGCACTGCTGGGCACAGGTAGGTGGCACTTCTGGGCACAGGTGTGTGACACTGCAGAGTGGCACAGGTAGGTGCACTGCTGGGCACAGGTGGGCGGAGCTAGTGGGCGCACTGCTGGGCACAGGTGGGCGGAACTTGTGGGTGGCACTGCTGGGCACTGATCATCAGGGCACTGATAATCAGTGCCCTGATGATCGGTGCCGATCCTCGCTCTGACAACTGCCGGTTCTCGGCAGTACTTTCCTCACGATCTGACAGCGTGAGGAAAGTGCAGCCGAGAACCGGCACTTGCATTTCCCTGTGATCAGCGTGTCATTGGACACCGCAGATCACGTGGTAAAAGGCCGGTATGATTGGCCTTTTACCACATCTCGTGATCAGCTGTGTCCGTAGGACACAGCGATCACGGAGATCGCCGGGCCGCAGTGAAGCCGTCATTCGGCTATCTGCGGTCGGCAACTAGTTAAGGAAAAAAAAACATCCAGTGCTATAAATCAATCTCTAAAAAACACACTGTATGTGACCAAACAGCAAACAAATCAAATTCTATCTGTGTTATTTAAAAACAAAGTCCATGCAAGTTAAACTGTGCTGATGTGATCTTCACTCCAGTGAAAATTAAACAGAAATCCTCAAATGGCAGCAATGCCTGCTCACCTCGCGTTGAGTCACGTTACGCAACGCGTCGATATGTCATTTCCGGTACGAGGTGACGCACTTCCGGTAGCAGCCATCTTGCTATACCCAGTATACCATGCAGTACACCCATAGGATGTGGTGACAGGCATTTTTGTTACTGGGGATACATGTGAATGCTTTACCTACTTTTTCCTGCAATTTAAATAAAAGGATACTGTGCTATGGAAGGTTTCTTGATTTATATACCCTATATATGCAATCTTAAATGGAGGTGGAGTGAATAAGGTGCACTGGGCAGAGGTCTTTACCCTATTCCAAAGTCCCTGTGATGAGGAGTGGAGTGGAAAGGATCTGTTACTATTAACCATTTCAATACCGGGCAATTTTACCCCTTCCTGCCCAGGCCATTTTTCAGGTTTCAGCGCTCTCACACTTTGAATGACAATTGCGCGGTCATACAACATTGTACCCAAACTAAAATTTTATCATTTTCTTCACACAACTAGAGCTTTCTTTTGGTGGTATTTAATCACCGCCGGGGTTTTTATTTTTTGCTAAATTAACAAAAAAAGACCAAAAATGTTGAAAAAAAAAAAACACGTTTTTCTTTGTTTCTGTTACTATAAAAGTTTACAAATAAATAATTGTTCTTCATAAATTTAGGCCGAGATGTATTCTGCTACATGTCTTTGGTGACAATAACCCAAATTAGGATGTATTATTTAGTTTGTAGGAAAGTTATAGAGTTCACAAACTATGATATAGATCTGAAAATTGATCAATCCTGAAGTACTGACAGCCAATCTAATTTCTTGAGGTCCAAGAAAGTCAGAACAGTACAGATATCCCCCAAATGACCCCTTTTTGCAAAGTAGACAGTCCGACGTACTTCATAAGAGGAATGGCAAGTTTTTTTGAAGTTGTATTTTTTTTGTCATAATTTTTCGGAAAATTAAAAAATTAAAAAAATTATTTTCACTTTTTTTTTTACATACTGTCACCAGTGCAGTAGTGTCATCATATAACTGGCATGGCGGTGAAGAGGGACACTGACTGGTGACAGTATGAAAAAAAAATATATATATATATTTTTTTAATTATTTTTAATTTTTTATTAAATTTTTTTTTATTCTTTTAAAGATTTTTTTTCATATTTTACTATGACCAAAGTAGTACAATGTTACCATAGTAACATTGTACTACTTTGGGGAAGTAATCAGTATTTTTTTTTTTTTGTACACAATTTGCTTATAGCAAAGAATTACTTTGCTATAAGCAAGCATTTGCCTGAATGACATCGATTCATTCAGGTTTTTTTTTTTTTTTTTTGTGCTTAGCTGTGATTTGGCCACAGCTAATCACATGACATGTGCATGTGACCTGCTGTGACCATTCACAGCTAGACACTACTATACAATGGATGGCATGAATGAAGCCATCCATTGTATACAACTGTCATGGGACCTGCTGTGATTGGTCACAGCAGGTCACATGGTACCTGCAACAGGGGCCGGTACTCAGATCCGTCATCGGCCGTGTCCGAGGTACACGGCTGGTGATAGATCGCGCTGCTGCGCATGTGCGGGAGGACGCCAAATGGCGTACACCCCGGAAAGCTAATGCATTTTTGCGGCTGCCAAACGGCTATAGGTCGGGCGGCAAATGGTTAATTATAGCCCTGTGGCCCTGCGTGGGTCGATGTGTGGAGGTGAGCAGGCATTGCTGCCATTTGAGAATTTCTGTTTAATTTTCACTGGAGTGAAGATCACATCAGCACGGTTTCACTTGCATGGACTTTATGTTTTTAATTAACACAGATATAATTTGATTTGTTTGCTGTTTGGTCACATACAGTGTGTTTTTTAGAGATTGATATTGATGTTTTTTTTTCCTTAAAGAATCACTTCACTACTATTTGTATTCTGTCACCATAATAAGGTTATGTTTCACTTATATATTTGTTGAATGAAATGTATTTGTTTGGAATAATTTTTCATTGGGCACCATTGTGTTTGCATGGCATGCAACATTTAACACTAATTTACTTATTAGATAGATTTTGTTTATAGCGCTGCACTATTCAGTTATTTTGCAATATTACTTATTGGTTTAAGTGGCAGCAGCTTTAGTTTAGGTTTGTGACTTCCGCAATAAACGCAGGAGGATATTTACTGTTATTTCTAATACCTGTTGCAATTTAACCAGCTCATCATAGGAGGTATTTTGCCAAATTACATTGTACTTGGTAAAGCCCATTACACCCTGCAGGTATCTAGCTTTATACCAGATCTTTTGCTTCAAATTATATGTAGGAAAGCATTTATTAGGTTTACTAAAAGTATAAGACTCCAATATCTCTGGGAGTACCTGTGTGTACAGACTAGTATAATTTGAGGTGTAGAGCTTAATCTCTGAGAGCCAGGAGTCTTACAGTTGCCATGCAGTCCACCAGCTGTTGTTGGTGTCCTGCTAGGTAGTAGAGCCATGGGTTAGGAAGAGCAGGACCACCATCATCCTTAGGACGATGAAGTTGCTCCAGGAGGACCCTTGTGGGGGGCAATCATTCCACATCAGGGAAAGAACATAGAATTTACAAGGTGAACAACTTTGAGGGATCACAACCGGGGTATTGTGCAGGAAATATAGAAGCTGAGGTATGAGAATCATCTTTATCAGATTTATTTTACCGACCACATATAGTTTGTTTAGACCAGATCCTACCTTTATCCCAAAACCGAGCAAGGAGTAGAGAGATGTTAAGGTTACAGAAGTCTCTGAGGACCAGGGAAATGTTCACTTCAAGATTTTTAAACTAGGTGGCCACTGGCTGACTCCCATCCAGTAGCATGAAGGCTAATGTTGTCCAGTTGATGCTTAACCCAGAGAAAGATCCAAATTGAACTCTAATGTCTATGGCCGCCTGTAGGGACGATGATGTGTCACCTAGTAACACCATCATGTCATCATCATATAACATTTTTTTATGCAGATGCCTATAGCAGAAGCCATTGCTGTCAGGATTGGACCGAATGAGAGCAGGCAGTGGCTCAATGGCAAGAGCAAAAAGCAGGGGTGACAAAAGGGCAGCCCTGCCTAGTCCCCATGCCCATTGCAATGGGTGGAAGAAACTCTTCCCGATACCTGTATGGTGGCGTGAGGGTTGCAATACAGCAAATTAACCCACATGGTGAACATGTCGCCAAACCCAAGCCTTTTGCTCTTAATGAAGTCCAGATTTCCATTTCCAAATACGCCCAGACTAAGGCCCTTGGCACTGATGGCTTGCCAATTGAGGATTATGGTCCACCTATACAAAGATGCTTGCCCCTCATCTCCTGGCTTTAAATGAAGAATTAGATTTTACCTTCACCTTCTGTGTCTGAAGTGCTGATCATTCTTATCCCCAAGCCAAAAAAAGACCCTCCTGATACAGTATTCTATAGACCTATATTTTTACTACAAGCAGATAATACAATTTAAGTGAACATCTTTTCCCACAGGCTTCATTAAAGTGGTTGTAAAGTTTGAAGATTTTTTACCTTCATGTATTTCATGCATAAAAGGTAAAAAATCTGTGTGTTGCTCCCCCCACAGCCTCCGTAATACTTGCACAAGTCTGATCTCGATCCAGAGCTGTGCATGGGAGCAGAGGCTCTACCGTGTTTCTCTCTCCTCCATTAAAAACTAATGTGCAAAAAAATAGACATTTATTAATGGGTGGAGGTGGCCATGTTCAAAATGTGGCCTGCTTCAAATAATAATGAAATATTGTGTAAAGAGGCACAAAAATATTTAAGGGAAAACTTTCTGTGAATATACTGCACTGTAATGTTGACCTCTAGATTTTGCAATGAATGGTGGTGGTGGAGGGTGGCTGTGGAGGAAGGTGGGGAGGGGGGTGTAGGGCAGAGTCCTACTCTAAAAGGCCTAGTACAGATTAATTACTGGCCACGCGGGCTCAAAAATAAATTCATAGCATTTTACCAAAAGAAAATCTGAACAACTCCTAACAACAAAACCAAAACATTCCAAAAATCACACTCTACAGTCAGCTCAATTTAAGTACAATCCCAGCCTTTGTAGATAACCTTGCTGATCTTTAACCATTAGCCGCCCGGCCTATAGCTGTTTGGCGGCCGCAAAAATGCATTAGCTTTCCGGGGTGTACGGCGTCCTCCCGCACATGCGCAGTTGGCGCGGTTGCAGAGCCGCGCAGCAGCGCAATCTATCACCGGCCCCTGTTGCTGGTACCATGTGACCTGCTTTGACCAATCACAGCAGGTCACATGACAGTTGTATACAATGGATGGCTTCAGTCATGCCATCTATTGTATACTAGTGTCTAGCTGTGAATGGTCACAGCAGGTCACATGCACATGTCATGTGATTAGCTGTGGCCAAATCACAGCTAAGCACAAAAAAAAAAAACCCTGAATGAATCGATGTCATTCAGGTAAATGCTTGCTTATAGCAAAGTAATTCTTTGCATTAAGCAAATTGTGTAAAGAAAAAAAAA